GCGCGCGCGCGCGCGCCCAGACCGTACGCGGCTCAGCGCCGGGATTCCGCGTCCGGCCCCCCGCGCGCCCACTCCCCGTCAGCTCCGGAACGCTTTTTCAGTCAGGGAACGTTTCCTTATCTCGCCCAGTATCCTCACTTCAGACCCACAGCCACCCCGAAATCCAGTCACCCCCTGCTTACCACCGCGGTCCCCAGCGCGCCCTCCCACTGGAGCAGCAGGTGACCCGAATCAGCCTTACCTGCCGCAGACTCTTCTCTCCCTCTCTCTTTGCCCAATATCTTTTCAGAGAGAGAGGAAGGGGATGCGGGCTGTGGGCGAGCGACGCGGCTACCCCGGGCACCGGCGCGACCTCCTGTGAGCGGCAGCCCTGGCTGTGCCGCGGAGCCGCCGGCGGCCCTGGCGAAGCGCGGAGGCTGCGTTCGCAGCGACCAGGCTGGGAGGCAGGGGGCGCTGCTGACCCCCGAGCGTCTTGCTCGAGCGGCGCGGAGCCAGGCACCAGCTGGAGCTCTGAGGAGGCGAGGGCGGTGAGGAAAGGCACGCTCAGAGCGGGAGGGCAGCTTTTAAGTTTGTGGTGTGACCGCAGCAGCTGTCCTGGGAGAGACTCAGTCTTTCTAAAAAGGGGATGCTCAAAACGCCGGGGATTACCTCTTCCCTTCCGATCTCCTCCCCCAGCCCTCAGCCCCTCCCTTCCTCTGCGCACGCCAGTCCTCCCGGCGTGCAGAAAAGTCCATCCCTGTCGACGCGCGGGCTGTCAACAGCGTGGATTAAATGTAGCTCTGGCTACGCTGAGGGATGTTTTTTCCGGACAGGCCTCTCTGTATGTAAAGCAACTTCTGACGTTTGAGTCCGCGCCCGGGTAGCTTTAGGACGTGTTTATTCTATACCATAAAGTCTCCAAGGACTCCCTGCGGAAGAAGCAGGACAAATACTGTCTCAAAAACTCTTAAGCCTCAAAATGAGTACCTGTGTTCCAGTAAAACCCAGTCCACTGTTACTGGCCTTTAAAGAGCAGGCACAAGGAAGCGACAGAGATCAGCCCTCCATTAAAAGACTGGCCCTGAGGAAGGACCAAGCAGAAGGAAAAGCAAAAACAAAAATACACACACAAGATGTAAGTTTTCTTTCCTTTTTACCTCATACGAGGCCAACAGGGATATGTCACCTTTTCCTGTCTTAGGTTTCCTTTGTAGACTTGCACACACCCTGGCCACTCAGCAGGAAACCTGAAAGTGTGTGGGGACCAGAGTGGATACAACATTTTGTGGAAACTGGAACTTACAGGATTTGGAGGTGGGATCCTCTTTAAGAAAAGATGCAGAAACAGCTTCATTCTACAGATCTTACAAAAACATGTGACATATGAATTAATAGTCAGGCTGCCCTCAGGGACATAGAAAGGGCCTGTGCAAGTGATGAGTCCTGAATTGAGGCCTTACTGGCTGCATGGTAAATCCTTGTGTGATTGGAACTTTGGGTCTGTGTTCACACACTTTGCAATTATTAATCCCAAACATAAAACTGACTTGAGGTAGAGCCATAGAAAAAAAGCAGCCACGGGGTCCTGCATTTGTCAGCTTGATTTAAGAGCACAGCTTGTAAGGTCCCAGAGTTCCCTTGGCAAATGACAAGGGCTGTTTTGGTTTGGGGGTAGTGAGCAGACAATGGCAACAATGGAAAGAACTGGTGAGGGGAGGAGACTTCATTCAGCCTTCCCTCTGCAGCAGAGCGCTGAGGGCCACCAAAGTTAAATGAGTCATTTTAAGTTACAGATGGTTGGTGGCTGAGCCAGGCTCAGGAAGGACTCAAGTTTCCTAACTCTGACCAGAGTTCTTTCCTGTGTCTCATGCTGCCCCATCTCTATAACCTTGGTTTTGACTGTCAACCAACCAACCCCGTAATTTTCCTCTTTGAATACAGGAAAATTTAAGGCCCTACAGACTATTCCAACCTATGGCCACATTTTCCTAAATGCTTTGTATTCAACATTACACCACTCACTTTATAATTAACCATATGCTTGGTGTGCTTATTGCATTTTTAAATACTTTTATATTGTTATCATTTCATTATGTCATTGCCCCCAGTAAAAATTGCAAGGACAAAATAGGACAAAATACCTCTTCTGTCTCCCACAGCATAGATTAGGGTTTTGCACATGCTAGGTTCATGATAAGTAATTTTCGTCTTTTAAAAATTCTCTATTTATTAATTTTCTAATAATTTTGTCAGTTTACTGGCCAGAATTTTGTATTTAACTAGAATTGTAGTTAACTCTGGATTTCCCCTTTTTATTTCCTGTCTAAAATCCTAGCTTAATGTACTCAAACCAGATGACATCTCTCTTTTGCTACTGTTTCAACCTTTTCCACAGAGGCCCTACAGAATTAATCACTCCCTCCTGTTTTTCCAAAGCACTTTGATTTCACTACTATTATAAGTCACTTTCATGTTATATCGTAATAAGTTATGCATTTTTGTCTGCCTCCCATAAAAGAGCATTGCCTGTTTTGTGTCCTCGTTTCCACAGCTCCTAAAACAATGCCTGTGAATTTGTATTGAACTGATTTGGTTTGAAGTACCCTGACTTCAAATTTAGGCTGCATTTTCTAGGGCATCCTGAACATACCATGAGAAGGCAACATCTGGAAACTGGGTTCTGTGCTTTCTTTCCTTTTAATTACTCTGAGCACGCAGCAGGCAGAGGCCACTGCACAGCCTAGTCGTGATGAATGGCCTCAGCTGTGTCCAGGGCTTTGTAATCCTCACAGTACTTCTCCAAGTGTCTTGCATATGGTTGGTGCTCAACAAATATTTCGGGGTGAAATGAGGTAATGAAAACAGTGGATGTGACAATAATTAGTCACTGAATTTATTTCTGAGATTTCTGCTAAGTATACAGAATCCTACTGGTATTGTTTTGTAACCCATGTTAAGAGTTTGAAACTTAATGTCATCAAAAGCAATTTGGTAATCTGTCCTGTAGTGTTGGTTAATACCCTATCTGAATCCTTGCAATGACATTCAGTGGGAAAAAGTCTATTTTATATTACGTTGTATTAAAATGTAAATTATGTTATACAGTTTAGCTGACCTCCAGGGATGACTATTCAAGATTCAGTAAAAGATCCTTAATTACACTGAAAGAGATGTGTATATCCTCAGTTAGCACTGTGTACTTGTTGCTGCTATGCCTGTGTCAGTCTGAGGGGAAAAGAAAAGAAAAGAAATGAAAAACAAAATACTTTTCAGGTGCTTAGAAACATGGTTGAATAAGTAAACTTGCCTTGAGGTCCAGACTCTTCCTCTGTGGCATACCACCCCTCACCCATCTTCATTATGGCTTACACATAGACTCTGAGTGAGTCAGTCTAACTGTACAGTAGTAGATATGTGTTAGATAATATGAAATACACTCTTTGTCAAAAGATTACATTTTAATACTGAATGAGGCCAAAGTATACATTTCTAATTGTGGAATTTCAAGAATCATCCACCTATGTTGGGAGCCATAAAGGAAGGTAGCAGGGATGGGAAAAAGCAGAATAGGTATATTCAAGGCTTTTCCAACTCCACATATAGCCACCTCTGTCCAGAGGACAAGAGAGAGATAATTACTGGGTCCTGAATTTAAATCTAGCAGGATGTCAGAGGATTTGACTACACTTTCGGAAGAAGGTACTTTTCCACACAGTCTTCTATTCACAAAGCATATGGAAATTTGGTCAATTTAAAAGGAAAGAAAAAAAGAAGATAGAGAAAAGAGATTGCAAAGTTCTGTGCACAAAGGCAAGAAAATGGAGATGAGGCCGAAGCCATTTAGTGTTCACATCTATAAAACTCATCCTGCCTTGGTAAGACATAAAAACTCTCTGCCTTATAATAAATAACTACTTTATGAATGTTTTCCCATATAGTAACATATCAGTACTAACAGATAAAAAATGTCATATGAGAAAACTGGGATATATATTAGTTTAAGTCTAACTGAAACAGGTGATGGCATGAGTTGAAAGCAGCTCACCCACCTCCTAATCTTCTATCAGTTTCCCTTTATAAACTGCAGATTTTTTGTTCCATCTGTTTCATTTGATCATGGCAAGTCACTCATCACTGGATCATTAGGTAGTTACATATTAGGATCATCAGAGCTTGTTTAGTGGTGGAAAATAACACACCTGACTTTTATCTCTAATGCAGTATTAATTACACATGCTTGGAACTCTCAGAAGTAAGTGGAGCCCTATTTCTCATCAAATAAAGACAGAAGATAGTTTATGGTTAGTTAATCAGAATGTAAAACTGTCAGAACTTTGCTTACTGTCTTTCAGTTTTAAACTCTTATACATCATAAATAATCATAAACATTCAGAGTTAGGAGAGGCTTCAGATCCCTCCTAGCCCTCAAGTTATATATGAGGAAACCAGGGCCAAGAAAATAGAGTGATCACCTTGCTCCTTCTGACTCCTGACTTGATGCCCACTGCAAAACAGCACCCTGCTATAGAGCCTTTTTGGGGAAAAAAAAAAAGCTATTTTTCAAAACCCTTCCAAGCCAGAATCTTAAGGTTATATTTACTTAGCTGGGTTGGGGTGTGGTGAATAATTAAATTCAGCAGGAATGCACTTCAAAATAAAAATAAAAACACAGCCCAACCCCTTTGGCCCAAGTCCTGAGACCTCAGAAAAGAAAACCTTCTTGACTATGAACATTTACTGGAGGCTGGAAAGGCTTTCTCTGTCTGATCTAGGACTCCACATAGCTATTGCAGAATGAGGGAATTTAAAGTCAAATAAATGACTCTTTGTTTTTTATTTTTAACAATGTTCTTATATCAACAAACAATCCCTAAGGAAGGACATTATGGAAAAATAAACAATTTTCCTATACATCATATGGGGGAAAAATATCTTTAACTTTGCTTTTCTTTATAGCTCGTACCACCACTACTCCACCCTTAGAGCAGGCTTTAGACGTAGTGTATTCTTCTAAGAAAATGGGGGAGGGAGAGGGATTCCTATGATACCTAATTGAGGCAAGACTTATTTAAGGGTGAGGAAACCAAGAAAAATATGCCCTCTTGTGGCTTATTTGTTCTAGTTCACAACTAATCAACAGTGCTCTATTATTTCCTGACACTCAAACATACCTATATTCCAAGTGGAATTAAACTATTCCTTTGTGCAGTAACTGGAGAGAACAGGTCCGTGCAGACAGCAGGAAGGCATTCCAAGACTTCTGCTTTGTTCAAGGTCATAAGCAGCAGCTTAGCCACACGAAATCAGTATCCCTAAAAACAGGGGAAGATTTTCCAAAATAACCCACAGATTCTTACAGATATTATAAAAATACCTTCCAAATAAATGCAAGAGATAGAATTTCTTTCCTAAATAGTGAGGTTTATTTTGGACGAACTTAAACCATCAGTTTCCACAAACAGGAGAAAATTCATGATTTCCTTTCCTACTGTATTTATGCCTCTAATATTTAACTGTGGGATGATGCTTACTTTCCATTAAACAAGTAACATGTATAATGAAGCAGTTAAGAAAATCCTGACTTTTCATTCTTTGCATATTTTTTCTCTCCTTTCTTTTAGTTTCTTCAGAAATGAAAATATAACAAATGTGTTACAGCCTATGATTTGCAGGCATAATTAATTCATGGTACTACACAAAATGCCCATCGTATTTTCCTAAAAACAGCAAAGTGGAAATAGGTTTAGTGATGGAAAATGACCTCTGCTAATTGAAAGACTGACTTTCACATAACTGTGATGTAAATAACTTGGTAACTAAGTGAATGTCAGATGT